AAAGGAGGCCAAATTTATCTCTTTTTTTTTTTTTTTTTCCAGAATTTCTGGGTTTTAGTCTTCCAACTTGGATTCAAAAATCCATTCAAAATTTCACATACAATGCCACTACTTTCTGGGACAGAAAGAATACTGAACTTAGGGGACTCATCTATTGTTTTGCAGATCTCTCCTGCTGTGAAATGTCCCTGGAAAAGTTTTACTAGGGTATACTGTAGGCTCCATGTTTATTTAAATCTTGGTAAGTAGAATTGAAAATCAAAATCCTGTCTTGTTAGGGCCACAAACAGTAAACTGTTAGTTCAGACTGAGGAATCTTAAGAACAAGACTTCCTTGATTTTGGGAAAATAACTCCAAATAAACTCTAGTTACAAAATGGTAAGCAAATATTTTCTTCTGAAATTGAGTATAGAGATACTGTTGGCCTTATGATAGAAAGACACCTGGAAATGGGGGTAAAGGCTGCCTTTGTTGGGCCAGCAGATCACATTCTTTTAAGATGGAAGGTTTTAGGGATGTGAATGAGAGTGATGGATATTCCTTACATAGGTCCTCACAGGTTGCTCTTCCATGGTTAGAGTAAGCCCAGAAACTCATACAAATGTTCTCATGAAGTATATACAGTGAGTGTATTCATTTTTAACTTGTTTTGTAGCTCTCATTATTGAAAGTTCTCATTAATTTAACAAAATTGTGATAAATTATTTTTTTTTTTTTTTTTTTTTTTTTTGAGACGGAGTCTCGCTCTGTCACCCAGGCTGGAGTGCAGTGGCCGGATCACTGCAAGCTCCGCCTCCCGGGTCCACGCCATTCTCCTGCCTCAGCCTCCCGAGTAGCTGGGACTACAGGCGCCCGCCACCTCGCCCGGCTAGTTTTTTGTATTTTTTAGTAGAGACGGGGTTTCACCGTGTTAGCCAGGATGGTCTCGATCTCCTGACCTCGTGATCCGCCCGTCTCGGCCTCCCAAAGTGCTGGGATTACAGGCTTGAGCCACCGCGCCCGGCCTTATTTTAGAATTTCTAAGTATATAATATGATTCTATAATAATTATTTCACTGTTTGCTTTCAATTGCTGATATTATTCTGTTTCCCTTAGTATTAGGTAGATTCTTTTAAGACTAGTTGGAATAATAAAAATATATAGTTTTGAGTTTAAACAGCAATTTTTTTAAAAGATGTATTTAAAAATGAAGAAGTTAGAAGCAGGTTATGAACTAGGTGTGGGGGACATAAAAATAACTTAAGAAGTGAAGCAATGATCACTAAGCTTAGGATAATGTCAAAGGGAAAATAAACAGCCAAGAGCTATCATGACAGGAAGAGGCAAGGAAAGAAATTTAAAGTAACTTCAAGGCTAAGAAAGAATAAGAAAAGACAGAACGAAGAAAGAAAGAAGGAAAGAAAGAAAAGGAGAGAGAAAGAAAAAAGAAAGAAAGAAAAGACAAGAAAGAAGAGTGAGAAAGAAAGAAAGAAAGAGGAAATGTATTTATAACCAGAAAGTAATAACGTTTTAAATAAATATTGATATTCATTATAATACAGTCCTTTGAAAAGAAGTGAAAGGCTTGAAATGAATTAAAATTATCACAGACACTTCCATGAATAAGTGTTTAAGAGAAATAAGCAAATATTTTAATTTTCTAGTCATATTTTATTGAGCTGCACCTAAAATGCCTTACAATGTGTATCATGTGTAATCCATTCTATTTGCAAAGCACTGTACATATATGTTCCTATTTACCTACAGCAGTTTTGTGAAGGAGCATTAAGAGCCCTCTCATTTATATTACCTCATCTGTTGCCCACATTTCCTTCCTCATTATTCTCCAGTGAAATTGCCCCAGTTCTTCTTTCTGTATTTAGCAGGTTATCTCATAAGTGAAGTCTCTGCACAGGTGGTTACCTCTGTGCCGCTTTCCCTTGTCTACCTGAGAAAAACAGTGTTACGCATTCACTATTCAACTTCTTCCTCAGGGCATGCTCAAATCCTTGAAAGCCCTGGTAGAACTGACCAGTTGGCTGACAGATGGGGCCTGAGTTCTCTTGGACACTTCTAAAAAGCCTTGGATATTTATTCAATCCTTGTGACCACAGCTAAGTCTATGAAAAAGATCACAATATTTATGGAACTGGGACATCTACATTCCATGATTAGACCAGTTCCCATGACTGAAGGGACACATACACACACACACACACACACACACACACTCCCTCCTAGAAAAAAAAAATACATCTTGCTGGTCCAGGCGCTATGCTTCTTCTGTTTACTGTTTAAAGAAATAACAGGAGCGGTTTTTTAGACTCAAAAGATGAGTATGGTAAGGGGCATGAAAGCAGAGCACAGGGGAGTCAGCAGGCAGGGGGAGGTTTGAAGAACTGGAAAAAACTTTACGTTGCTTTCCAGGAATTACAAGTAGTTTAGTGACTGCTCTAGATTGTTGAGTGAAACTGAGGAATAGTGATATGTATCTGGCAACTATGAGTCTGAAGCACCAAAATTTTTTTTTAATTTTACTTATTTCAAACAGTAAAGTTTCAAATATCTCGTTTTAATACCCATGTATCCTATTCTGATGAGTTAATGATCATAAAAATTTTACAGACCATACTGCTTAGGTTCATGCCTTCTGTTGCTATACATATTATTTAACTTTTAGAATCTAATGGTTCTGCCTCAGAATGGTAAATATATTATCCACATTAAGATAAAACTTAAAAATCAGATCTATTTTCCTCACTAGAAAACTGACGCAAGTTTAAGAGATCCCAATTCTAAGCATCTAATAGTTCTTTGCAGTTCATAGAAAGCATATGAACAATGTTTGAGGATAACAGGACAAACCCTGGAATATTCTGGAACCAATTACAGGGTAAGAAGCATAGAAGATACACATCAACTTTGAATTTATATTTCAATACATTAATAAAATAATTGCTGAGAATAAGAAAATTATGAATTAATGATAAATTTTCATCTAAAAACTAGATGAATATACAATTGACCCCTGAAAAACGTACAGGTTGGGAGAACCACCTCCGACACAGCCAAAAATCTGTGTATAACTTTGGATCACTCAAAACTTAACTCACTTCACTTAATATCCTACTGTTGGCCAGAAACCTTACTGATAACACAATTAGCCTATTAACACATAAATAGACTAATATCTTCATATATTTTAGGCATTCAATACATAACTATTTTTCTTAAAATTTTCAAGATGTCTAGGCTACATAAGTCATCTGTGAGTATTTTCAAATTGTCACAAATTTCCAAAAAGATTGTAATACAGTTATTGAAAAAATATCCATATATAAGTGGACTCACTCAGTTAAAGCCCATGTTTTTTAAGGATCAACTGTATAACACTATAAGCTTAAACTGCAGTAAAACTCAAATGTATCATTTCCATTATTTTTAGTCAACTCTTACAGAAGTTATTTATTTATGTTTGTTTATTCCAATGCAGATGAGAAAGTAGGATTGTTTGGACACTGGAACATATTAACAGACAATAAAAAATTGTAAAATTTTTAAAAATTAGTTTGGAGGTGGAGGGAGCTTTGGAAATAAAAATTAAGCTCCTGTATATGAGTTAATTTTCCACTATCTAGTATCTACTCAGAACTACATGGAGAAGGAGCAGTGTAGGAAGAAAGTAAAAAGTAACATTTGCTAAGCCTAAAGATTTTTAGCATGAAGAAAACTGAGATTTTGTTTTCATTTATCTCCATGTTGATATTATCTGCTCTGTATAAAAGCACCATAGGTATTTTAAAAAATATTTTTACCTATTTCAAACAGCAAAATTTCAGATATCTCGTCTTAACACCCATGCATCCTATCATGATGAATTAATGAACATAGAAATTGCAGACCATACTGCTTAGGTTCATGCCATCTGTTGCTACACATTATTTTACTTTTAGAATCTAATGGTTCTGCCTCAAATGGTGTATATATTCTCCACATTAAGATAAAACTTAAAAATCAGATCTACTTTGCACGTTAGAAAGCTGAAAGCAAGTTAGTGCCATCCCCTTAAGAGTAATAAACTATGACTAACTTCTTAGTCTAAATTATTGTTCATATAAACAGTGTATTTAGGCTCAAAATAATATAGAAAATCATGATAGCATTCAACATCTGAACTGTCTACTGATGTGTATATAATCCCTGGGTAACTAAATGTTATATTTTTGACCTTTGATAGCTACTCGGTTTGGTTCTACACTTCATAGTAATTCAGGATGAACAAGAATTGTTTCATTACATATGAAGATTTACATTGGCTACTTATGACACAGAAGTAATATGAAATTTTTCACCACTGTTGTTTCTCAAGGTTCTCCTGCATATTATCTGTGCTTAATTATTCCTAATCTTTGATGTTATATAAGAAAACAAAGAATTAGACAAGTATTTATGTATTAGAAGCCATTTAAGAAAATAAAATTTAATTTTAGTTGCTAACAATCTCAAGTAAAAATAACGGAGTTTTGACCTCATATTCAGTGAAAAAATTGTTAAAATATTTAGCTAACTTCTCATATAATGATTGATGAATAAATATTTAATAATAACCAATTATTGACTTTTATTAGATTCAAAGCATCACTCAGATTTTGGGCAGAAGTAAGGAATCTCTAGTATCAAAACCAAAAATTCTATTAATCTAAATTTTTAAAAATTTGGAATGTTTTTTAATCATAATTTATTAAATAGAAGATTGTATCTTTTTTAATACCTAAGAGAACTTCATACATGAAATTTGGGCCCACTGAATACCGTGTCTGTGACTTATTTCTGCATTTGTAAAATAATTACCATCTCTAATAATAGCCAAAGTAGATTATACAGTGTTTTTTAATGAGATTTATTTCAGTTTGGCCTTTGAATAACTCTTTTATAAATTTAACAACATTTCAATTATAACAATAACTAGTGAATATTACATATTATTGAAAAAGCAGTAAAGGTAAGATCTAGAAATGATACTACTAACATTTTAACATTTTTCTTGTAATCTGTTATTCTACTTTTATAAATATACTTTTTATAAAATGTGACTGTAAAAGTTTGGATACTGCCTTTTTAATAATTTTTCAATAAAATTTTCATATTCATTTGCAAAAACAACATCACCACATTACTACAATGATGGATGCAAATTTCTTAATATGATAATATCAATTATTTACCATTTCTTCAATTGTTCAATATTTTATAATGTTTCCATATTTTCAGTGTCCTAATAGTAGCTTCATGAAATGGTTGAGAAAATAAAATAAAGTCTGTAAGTTACTCAAAAAGAAAAGCCTGACAGATATTAATTGCTAGCTATAAGAATAATAATGATTGTGATGCTTTTCTATTGTTATAAGTGATAATCAAATTTATCCTTGCAATTTTTTCATGAGTTGTATGCTTTTAGATGACATAATTTTTAACCTAGGTTTTTTATGTCTCCTTTTCTAACAATTTTCTAAAATTTCCAGAAATGATATAAAATTAGAAAATAAGTTTTATATTTCCCTTACTAAATCAAATATTTTATACTGAATTTAGAATTTTCAAAGATTCGTGCCACCTTCACTATAATATATAAAATACAGGTAGTTGTTCAACAAAAAGTTTCAGTTTGCATTAAAAATTCTTGAATGTGAACAGATTGATTTCAGATGACTCTTTGAAATTTTTGAGCAGCATTGTACCTTACTGAATTCCTTTTATTTTAGACAACAAAACAAAACATTTTACCAACAGTTGGCCTACTCTAGTTATTAAAACTTGTATACACAGATTGTTAACCAGCTTAGCTAAAACAGCAGCTGTCCACTGGAAATAATTGCAGAAATGTATTTCTCATTGGTCTGAAATCAAACATATGTTTTCCTATAACAACTAAAATATAACTTTATTTATTGATATGTGCTAATTATTGAAAAGCATTAATTACAAAGTTATACACTAGATTTTCATACTGACAAAAAATTCATATCTTAGGGATCAATATATTGATATATTTTTAATGTTTCAAATAGTTGAGAAACTAAGACTACATTTTGAAATAACAGCTTTTGAGTTATTATTTTTGATTAAATACTTGTAAAAAGTCATGTCTCTATATTGAAAAGAGAAGAGTCCATTTTCTCCCATAACTGTGTTGAGAACTAATTTAAATATATTATGGAAAATAATCTTTAGTTTAGGCTGTACTGACTTTCCGTCTCTTTCACACTCTCTAGAAATTACGATAGGTTTTACAACTTTTCATGCTCTTCTTGTATGAAATATTCAAGTCTCCCAATTACTATAAATTTTAAATGGCAATAATTGTTAATGTAGCAAGTCTTCAACATTTTGGTTTCTACTTGAAATTATATTATTTTCATTCATGGAGAAAATAATAGCATATGTTGTTTGCATACACGGCTTTTGGTTGATTTTAGGGTTTCATTAGTGGAACAGTCAAGGCAGAAACATACTCATCTCTCCAAATAGGTCTTTAAAACAGCACATTGGCAGTCTGCTTTATTTTTATAGTGCTATAGATAACGGCTGTGAGTTTCTTAAAGAATAGAATTGATGGGTGTTATTACAAATGTAACTCAAGGTTCCCTAAGAGTCTGACACCTAAAAATAAATGCATAGCTTATCTTACTAAAATTAAAATAGTAATGATCCCATATGGCCATTCATTTTGTCTACTGCATTCTCCCATCAAACAGATAGGACTTCTCAGTAATCTGTGGTAAGAGATAAATAAAGAAAACATTACCTTCTGTATAGTAATGATTCCTTCCTGTGTTTCTTTGTCAACAGAAATCTTAAAAATGCCCAATCCATCACCATCCACAATTCTGTACTCCATTTCAGCATTAGCTCCAATATCTGCATCGGCAGCTTTAATTCTGGCCACAACTGAGGCTACAGGTAATGACTCTGGGACGTTATATTGATAAGACCCTGTGAAATTGAAAATAAGAAATGAACACATTATACCAAGACAACCAATAAAAACTTAACTATTGGGTTATTTTGACCTCATCTTAGCATAACTTCTTTTTATTTTTTGATAAAAAATATGCTAAGATAATGGAAAACAAAAGATGTTTCATATAGCCTTAAGAGATTTGATGGGAATGATTAGTTAATAATCACTGTGATAGCAGAAATAGATGGTGAGGAAAAGCAAGAGAAGAATCTCTAATTCCTGTTTTTCTGGTGGTGAGAAATATCCTACACTGAAAAATAAAAATAAATTTAAAGTAATTATAATTGATATATAATTATTAAATGTAATTCAATATAATAATTACAATAATGTATAAAACACTAAGAAATAAAAATAGAATAGATTGGGCTTCCACTGGGCAAATACAAGCCTAAATCGTTTTCATAACTTAATGTTGGAATTTTCTTAGCATCTTTTACCAAGAGAGTTTCAGAAAACTGGGTAAGAAAACTGGATAAGAAAGGATAAGAATGATTTGTGTAGGTCGTACGTAGAACTGATTTGGGCCACAATGGTCCAGGAGCCTAGGCAATATTAGTCGAACAGAAAAAAAAAAAAAAAAAAAAAAAGCCAGTAAAAGAGAAAAAAAAAACTTTTAAAAATTTTTGTTTAAATTTTGTAGTAACTCCTCATCGCCATCCCTCAAACTAAAGAAAAAGTTTCGGGGCAGATGAAGAAATGCATGAACCACATCACTCAGAAGTGAGGAAACACCTCAGCACACTATATTCCTTCACTACTTTTTCTCTAATCATTTACTTTTTCCTGCCTCCTCCATCTTTTTCCGTTTATTTTGGTTGTTAAATTTTGTTGCATTTGTCCTGTCTTGGGAAGGGAGAAGGAAGGATTCTCTCTGAGAAGAACATAGAAAGGAAAATGTGTCTGTATGATGGAAATATGTATTAGACTGAGACTTGTTTGCAATTTTCTAGATTTTGTGAATAGTTACTGTTTGTTTTTAAAATGATTATAATATATGCTATTACTTTTGAGTGACCCCTTTTACACATCTCAAAGTGTCCTTTGTAAAATCCAAAAATGTCAAGGTTAAACTAGTGATTCAATGGTAGAGAAAAATCCCAGCAAAAATGAATAACAATGATATATCCTTGGCTTTTTTCACTTTAATAAGTTTGAGGGGAATCTATAATGGCCTAGAACACCTATATCTTACTAAAATTCTACATAATTTGATCAATCTAGGCTTAAACAAAAGGAAAGCAGTTCATTTCATTATAAGCCCAAGATAACTGCATTATTTCCTTTTATAATTCTAAAAGTCCCTCCTTCTCCATGATAAGCCATCAAGATCACAATTAAGAGTAGGCTTATTTAAAGAAAATAATGCTAAACTTGGGGTCACTTTTTTATATTACCAGGAGATATCGTTTCTTGTATAATATAAATGTTAAAACTATATAAGATAAAGATGAAAATTTTAAAGAGGCAGTCATTGAAGGAGAAAAGAGTGACACTCGTATTTGCTCAGAAAGCTTCCTTTTTTGATACAATTCACTTCTAAGTTCTGTTGGTAGGGAGTGTAGTTCCCATTTGTACTAGAAAAGCATTTTAGAGACATTGTACATTGTAGACATTGTAGTCTGTACAATCTCTTTATTTTCTTGAGCATTCTAAAGAAATAACACACTTAGGGAAAAAAGGGAACTAAAAAGAGAGTGAGGTGAAACGTTTTTTCAAACAGCACACCTCTACCTAGAGAATTTTTTTTTCTTTTTTCTTGGTTAAGTCAAAAGCCCCTTTGGTCAAATAAGTGGAATTGAGGGCATTTGGTTTTTTAGTTCTTTAGATTGGTTTTTAAAACACTGAATGTTTGCACAAGAAAGATGTGGGGGAACGACTAATGGAATGTTCAGTGTGCACAAACTGGCTTTAAAAAGTGTGAAATGAAAAAATGGAAATGTTTATTACTCTTTTTTAATTTTCAATAATAAATCAATATTTTAGTGCATAGAATGAATAAAATGTATTTGAATATTATTAATTGGCAACAACTATAATTTACAAAATATAAAAAGTAATTCTTAGAAAAAACACTAATACATAAACACAATTAGTAATTGTCTAGTATTGAAAATGTGAATGAAAGAAAAATCTTACTATATTTAAGATATGGTAGTCAAAATTTGCATTACTTAGAAGTAATGCAAGTATATGATGGCTTCTAGTTCTTCTCAATACCCTTATAATCCATATTGCTGAATCAAAATTATGTCTCTAATGAAATGTAAATTTGGAAGAATGAAGTAAGATAATTATTTGCTTTAGAAATATTTGAAAAAAGTCATTTTAAAGACATATTTTATACTGTCAGGAAAAGTTATTACACTTGTATCACTTAAGAAAACAACTTACTTCGAGGAAAGCGAGGTGGGTTATCGTTGACGTCCGTTAGCGTCACAGTGACTGATGTAGTTCCTGACAGTCCTCCATTTTGACCAACCATATCCTTTGCCTGAATAACAAGCAAATACTGGTCTTTAGCCTCTCTATCCATGTTTGGAAGGGCAGTCTTGATGACTCCTGTAAAATTTCAAATCCCAGTAAAACTCATCATGAATCACTGCATTTATACTAACAAAGAATACTGATACAAGTAGTAAGTCGCTCTTGAGTTGTTGCCTTTTGTTGTTTCGTTTGTTTACTTTAAGTAATTTTACTGTTTATTAAATACCAAAGGAATATGATAGTTTTACACAATGTTACAAAACAGAGAAAACATTATTAATGTGGTTTTCTCAATACTGAATAAAGAGGATTATCTTTAGGTTTCAGGGAAAAGTGGTTAAGAAAATAACAATTTATAAATAAATAAAATGGCCTTTTACCAAGAATAATGGACAATCACCTGTACAAGTACACAGCAATGAACTCGTCCTTTTCTTCCATCTCAACAACTTATAAAAATGCATAACCACTTACTATCAGTTTTCAAGTAAAATAATATTCTTACTATCCTTAGCAACAATACTTTTGTTTAAATCTGAGCACACTAGCTCTCAAGCACAAACATACACATACATCAGCAACAGATCTGTATTTTAAGCATTCAAATTACACTTATTTGAGAAGTCTAGGTTGCTTATTTATTTTTTGACATTACTCATTTATTCCCATACATGAACTGTAGTTGGATGCTATTGTCACGGTAATCCAGGCTCACTTTACGTAACACTTTCAATGAATCCTTATGCGTGTCTATATATTTTATAATTGATCTTTGAAATATTATAATAAAAATGAAAACAAAATCATATACAAATTAGGTCCAGGTGGTAAGTATCTAATACATATTCTTCTTAGAGCCATAATGATTTTATGGATTTTTCATGTTTGCTCTTCAATACTTCTATTAACTCTAATTTATAACAAAGCAAATATTGACTTCCCTAATACTGTCACCAAACATAAACTATCTTTGTGTGAGAATTCTGGGACATATCTCCACCTTTATCTTTTCTGTTTTTTTGTTTGTTTGTTATTTTTTTGCTGTTAATCATCTTTATTTCTGTAACCCTTTTTTTAAAAATTGAGCATTACTTATTTTGAACATGACCAACACATATTTCATTTATATGAAAAATATTAATAAAACAAGTTATTTTTAGAAAAGAAGTCCCACTTACTTTTATGTTTTTTAAAAAAATTTGATTTATCTCTCATTTTTCCTTCTAATATCAATATGTGTGTTATCGTCTGTGCATATTTATTGTGATGGAGAGAAGTCTATAACCCCTCAACTAATCAGTAAAGGAAACACTGCAGCCTCATCCTCTCATGGGTTTGCTTAGTGGAATTATTTTTGAAAGGAAATATAGCATCGTTAAGATAGAAGTCTGGTAGTCAACGTTTCTCACTTATTTTTCACACATCTAATTGTCTCTTTATAAGTGAGCCTATAAATAACACCTTTCCAAGGCAGAAATCATCACAAAGTTTGCAAATCAATGCAGGTAGGAAAGGTAATTTCCAAATGCCTCAACTATTGAACATATTTTTGACAAGAATAACATAATTGGGAAAAGTTGATTTGAAATAAGAACACCCACTAATAATAGATTTCTACTTGTATGGCATTTGCTCGCTTTTACTTTTAAGTAAAAACTGTCTAAATTTGGAAAAGCATTCTCATACATTGGATTTCATTTGTGTTTTGTCATGTATTATATAATTGTATATATAAATACACGCACAGACAGAAAATTGTTAATATCATATTACTGAACTAGTAAAGTCTAGTCTTGACCAACTGGATACCTCTAACTCTGTGAAATTTTCATGCTTAATAATAATCAATAATTTTAAGTCACATAGGCTTAGCAAAAAAAAAAAAAAAAAAAAAGGAATTCTATCTGTGGGTTCTTTGGAGAAGACATTGGCTCATATTTTAGGCTTTGTGAATAATAATTTTTCTATAACTATATCATCTGATACCACAACTCAGAACTTTTCATTTATTTATAATCCATGTTCACAAAAAGCATTGTGCATGTGAAACATAAACTTATATTGCTATTGTTCAAAGCTGTTTTTAAGTATAGGAAAAAAATCTGATGATCCAATATCCTATAAGCCTCAGATGATTTTTTAAATGCATATTCAGCTACTATTGAATCTTTTTAAAAATTTGGTATATGTACCTCATGTAACAGATGATAGCCATTTCTGAAATCTTCCACACTTTAGGGAAGGAATGGAACACGGGTTCTGCATACTCAGGCTTCAAATTACCCTCAGGAGTCTAGACAACCACATGAACCCAAGGATTAATAACCAGGGGCTGGGGAGATTCACACTGTGAGGGCTCAACCCTTTAGGATTGTTCTCACTAAAACTAAATAAACGTTTTTGAATATCACTTTGACTGGACTACCATTCCAAGGGGAATCTCAATATTGCAAAACCGGCTTCCTCAGGGATCTTGTTAACTGAGGAAGTACCTTCTCACAGTAACCAGGATCTGGGTCATCTGCACTTCCAACTCCCAAAGCCCTTCATGCCTCCTTCTCTCTCCATGACAGCCTTTATTGTCTGTAGCTATTCCAAGAATTCTAAAACCATACAATTAGACTTTAAAGAAACTGGTTTCCTTACGGTTTTTATGTACTTAATAATATATGTCAAGAGGTAAGTGATACCAAACAGTCAAGCCCCCAAATTGGGACTTAGCCCAGGAGGTTCTTGGCTTTGCCCAAGAAAGAATTCAAGGGTAATCCAGTGGGTTTTGGACAGCAACTTTTATTAAATGGTACTGCTGTTTGTGGAGCAGTGCTAACTCATAGTCAGTGTGCCCAAACTCTGCAATCTATGGTCTCTTGGCAAAGTTATTTTTACTTATGTAAACCCAATTTCAATTACATGCAAATTAAGGAGTGGGTCAATGCAAATTGAGGGGTAGATTATTTAGAAATTTCTAGGAAAGAGGGAAGTAACTTCCAGGTCATTGCGACGGAGACGGGTGGTAACTTTCAAGTTGTTGCCATAGTATTTATAAACTGTCATGGCACTGGTGGGAGTGTCTTATGCCAAAGAGCAATGAGGGCAGCTAGGGACTGCTTATGCTGACATCTGCTGGTTCCTGCCAGTTTCTTCACTTTATCCTGTCTGAACCAGATCCTGTTTTGGTCAACAAGGTTGTGACCAGAAAATAAGTCCTGCTGGTCTCCTACCTCATAAGGACCATGAATGAACTAAAGCCATTTGGTATGGCCATCACCAAAATGGAGCAGCCAATGAAGACAGCACCATCGAGATATGGACAGGAGAATGACGCAACAGCAAATAAATCATTTCAAATACATGTAGTTTGGCTGTTTGCTTTGCTTTTGTTCTAACAGAACTAATTGGATATCATGTTAGCTCTCTTGGTAACTCCTTTAAAGATAATTATTTTTGTGTGATTATTCCCTAGTGAATGAGAATAATAGATATAACTGGTAATGAACTGAATATGTATTTATGTAATCAGTTTCTGTCAATATGTATTCTTAGTATTTAAAATATCTCAGTGATGCTTGTGACTAATATTAACTTATTCTGTTTTACATTATATCAATGAGTGCTATGTTACATGATATTTAGAAATACAGTACATATTCAGGAAAAAAAATCCAATATGATGTTTTGCTAATGACACAATTGAATATTTTAATGCAGTGTGATCAGCTGTTATGCTATCTCTCCCATGCACATTCTGACTGGATAACAATGATCACTTTTGTAAACTTATTCTGAGTCCTAACTGCCACCTTCTTTCCCTTGGACAGCTTCTGTTGGAGCAATTCACCAATTATAATAAACTCAACTCATTCTGTAACATATTGATAACTATTGAAATTAAAAAAGAAAAAATTCAAAACCTGGTAGCATACAAAGTTAACTAAAAGTAAATTAGAAATAAAATGGAGAATGGGATGTATAAACATCCTTAAGTATGTGCATCTTTGAGACTTGAATTGCATTGTGAAGATAAATATACCACTTTATATTTTAAAAATATTATGAGTGCAATACATTGTGAAGTCTTGTGTTACATATTTGTAGAACTACAGAGACGAATACAGATTGGGGTCAAGCAACACTCTTTCTTGCAAATGTAGACACTGAGGCAAGAAGAAACAGATCCTAAACAAAGCAGTTTCAAATTAAAAAAAAAATATTCATGATGCTTGAAAGTTAAATTTCAAAGGAACTTAGAAACTGAAATGAGCACAAATGTTTCAGGCTTGCTTTCTATTTTTAAAAATATCCTTTGATGATAATCGTTTAAATACTGGAATACAAATTATAAATGAATTTCATATAATAGGCAATAAAGTCAAGTATGGCACTTTTATTACAGACATTTATCAGTAAATCAAATATGAAAGAAATGCACAGCCCTGGCTATGCAGAAACTATGTTACTGATTAGCTGAGAAAACTCTTGGGAGGAGGAACCTATTTATAAAACAAAATCACAAAAGTTTTTGGATGCTCATTTTGTTTTACACTTAAGATAAAAATCTGCTAATGAGTTTCTATTTCTTTCTAAATTTTGTGCCTAAGCTCTGTATTACTTGACTTGTCTATCTGTAGTGTAGATATGAAAGAGCTATAAAAAGATGGAGAAGAGCCAACAACAGTGAAGTAGTAAAGTTGGAAGCTTCTGGAACATAAAAGAATTCCAGTGCTGGCAGAAAATGAAGAGTCATTGAGGAAGGGACTCTTTTTGCAACCTGTGGGGGATGTTCTCAGCAAGCTTTCAAAAGAGACAGCACTCTTGCATAGAATGAGAACCGGGAGTGTGTGAAGGGTGTAGTTGGAAGGGGTCACTTGTTATGGCAATACCCTTTACATAAAATTATGATGTAATAGGTATGCTTGCAACACATAATGCAGCCACCACGTAATCATACTTCTTATGTCTAAAAAAGAAGTCCTAAATGACAAAAGATGTTTAACACTCAATTAATTTTCCACAGCTTGCTTCATGGCCAGGTGAGCTGTACCATCACTCTTACCCTGTACTTAGTTTAAAGCTCTGCTGCTGATGTCTTCAAATCCTTAATCATTTAAGAATAAAGGACCTGTATGTTCATTTTAAGTTACGAATTAGGTAGCCAGTCCTCCCATATATCACATAGACCCAAAAAAGGTATCTGTTTGCTTGCAGGTTACAAAATAAATAGATACACCTTAGAATGATCCTAAGTATGTTTAATGGAATAAATGTAATGTCTGTAATCCCCTAGTAAGTTTGTGGACATTATGAAGATAGGTGTTGAGAAGTTTGAAGGGAATGTGCTTTACCTTGTTTCCAGTGTCATGCTACCTTGCTTGTTAAAGTCAACTGTCAACACTGGGTTTTGCAACTACTCACATTCTAGCTTGGGGAAAGGAGAAATTGACGCAGAAAATACAGTTTCCCTCTGGTCATTCAGCCTGTAAATAGTGCTATAGATGAAAATTTGTGTTCTGAGATTTTAGTCATGTTATTTTCTTGGAAATTGAGAAGAAGAAATTTATAGAAATGCACCTAACAGTGATGGCTTGTGCCTATGGTTACATAATTTTTATTTAGCATAATTTCAACATTTTTCCTGTCAAAATTTTACTTTCTGACCCAAAAACTCTCAGATTTGAAGGATAAATAATGTTATTTCTCACATATAAATGAATGAGACAGACATCAGGAAAGGAAGACTAACAAGACCAAGTGAACCTTGATTTACAATTCCCCATGCCCTTTAGGTCTGAAAACTTTCCATTTCTGTCAGAAAAACATGTAATTTATTTTTTCTCACAAGAAATGTACTCTACATATTATAAATTAGCAGAGAAGACAAAGATGCCCAGAATATCTCTGCATTAATGACCATGTAAAAAGAAGTTCCAGTGATTACCATAATTACAGTATTAAAAAAAAAAAACTAAACTAAACTTTCCTCTTCTCTTGAAACACACAATCCCTTCAACTCTGAAATTAAAATCAGGTTTGAAGTATTAATAATGTAATCCTATGACATATACCATTGTCTAGTTGATCAACCAGTAAGGCTTTATCTCCACAGTGTTACATGGAAATCCTGTTATTCTGCAGCAAAGCCAAAATCACAAGCCAATCATTAGTAGCAGCAAAATATTTAATCCTTGAACTTAATACACGCTATTTTTGGACAAGTTATATAAGGCAGGAGCGTATGATTGTGAGCAAATTGTCAGGAACTTGTCAATGTCTTTTTAGGTTGTCAAGAGTAGGCACAGAAGGGAAGAGGTGGGTGTTTGAATTTAGGTTTCTCAGATCTATCATTCAGTCAAACAGAAGCACGCTTTCCACATTCACAGGATTCATATCATAAATCAAATACTTTCATTTACTTCTCCTTTAATACTTGCTTAATCATGACTGTTTCTTCCTTATTAGACTTTCCATGTGGTTTCCAAGCCCCATCTCTACACTGGTATAAAATATGCATTCCGTCTCTATGAAAGCTCTAATGAATGAGCTAAGATTGAATTTACTTCTCTGTTCATGCACATTACAATGGTCATTCCAAAAGGTGTTCATGAGAATAAATTAATATTGCCCTTTTTATAAATATGAAAAACAAGACTAATGACATTAAAATATTCATTTAGGATTACAGGTACTGATGAATATTCATAATCATAAATTTATATATTTGAATAATTCTAACTCCATGATAAAGGCAAAATTATTTTTAAAAAGAGAAAACATGGATTTCACAGTGATTAAAAAAATCAGTGTTATTCACACCCGTCTGTGTGAATCAGTAATATTCACACCCACCCGCCCTTCCCTACACACACAGGACCAGAAAAACTGAATACATTAAAATATCAATTAATAACCAAGATAACAATGTCCCATGTTATAGTCTTAATGTAAACGGTTTCAGCTTAAAAGCAAAACAGAACAAACCAACTACATATTCTATCCATACCGCTTTTCAACCCAGCAAAAATTGTTCCCCAAAATTAAAAAGTAGATATATTTAGTTTCATTTTTGATTTGGCAGATCATCACCCTAACTGTTATGTTTAAGCTTATTTCCCTGAGAAAAATAACATCTGGAAGAATAAACTGAAACTACTACCTATTATATTACATGGCAGAGAGGTTTCTGTTTGAGATGTAAAGATTACCATGTATAATTTCCTATGTGAATGAAAACACAAAACAAAACACAAGTAAAACTCTGAGGTAAAGTATCAAAATTTTCTTAAGCATTCAGGAGATAGAAACTGAAATACTTTGGAATATACAGCATTATTTTTAATTTTGTTAAGATACTGATGAATAAAATAAAATATTTTAAATGGTGAGAATATTTTAAATATTGAGAGAAGCAGAACAAAATAGTATGTTATTAGTGTCAACTATATTTAGAAATAATCATATTAATTGTAAGAAACAAACAAATTATGACTCTACAAGAATGTCACATTTCAATTTTTACCTGTCTTTGGCTCCACTGAGAAGTATGGCTGTCCTTGCAGAATACTGTAGACCACTCTGGCACTGTTGCCATATGTAGGATCATCAGCATCCGTCGCTGTCACTTGTACCACTGAGGTCCCTAGATGCCAATCCCAAAACCACTGAATTAAAAACTTCCAAATACCACAAAACAAAATAACTTACAAAATGTTACTGATTCCACATTAAGCTTATTTGAAATTTTTCATTTATCTTTTTCAAGGCACATAAAAAATTGATACTGTATTATTTTAAAATAAACCAGCTCCAAAGGAATGATAAATATTAACAAAACCCTTGAAATATTTAAGGGATAAGAAAATATTCTGACAAAAAAAAAAAAATACCATCGATGATGCACATTAGGCTGGGATATACTCCGAATGGGATGGGACTGAAACTTTAGATGTCTCATCCATTGGGCTCAGGTAATATATTTTCATCAAGAGCAGCTTCTATAAGACTCAATCACTGTCTAGAAAACAGCATGATAACAGCATCTTGGACACTTGAATCATTGCAGGTACAAAAATGTCACAGTTAAGATGATCCAGATGGAAACCAAAATGTCATTAACTGACAAAGAACATTTGATGCACCTAACTGGATATTAGGTGGCTACCCTATCTCCTTAGGATTTTTAAAAATTTTCTCTGCCAATTGATTTAAAAACAAAACAGGGAATGAAAATTTAAACCAAACCTCTTGTAAAAGAGGAAAGCCACGGCAAATTTAAAAATTACATCAATAGTTTTTTGGTTGTTACATATGATGTACGACATATGATGTTACATATGAAATGTTGTATTCTTTCTTCATTTACTATGTATTCACACATTCAATATGGAAAGCATTTCTTCTGATCTGTTATTTTTTTCCATTTGGAATGTAATCTTTAAAATATCAGAAAGACTCATGTTTGCTTAGTTTATATATTTAGTTATATATTATCATTTGGTAAATATCCTGTCTTTTAAATATGGAACAGGTCCCTTTCTTTATGTATTCTTTAAGGTCCTAGTTTGTTTCAAATAATTTCCTGAATATGACATTTTAAAGCTTACATATTTTTAGATTGACTTCTATGTAAATATCTCTTTCAAAATGCCTTAAGCAAGTCATTGATGTCCATTTTGCTATAAATCCACTTTAGTTTCTATATAGATTTCATTGCCAATTCCATTTTCTTTAAAATTATGTGAAAATTATGAAAGTTAAGTGTACAACATTATTCTTTAAATCCTAAAGTTTTTGTTTATTTCATTATATTTTTGAGACGGAGTTTCGCTCTTCTACCCAGGCTGGAGTGCAATGGCACAATCTCGGCTCACCGTAACCTCCGCCTCCTGGGTTCAAGTGATTCTGCTGCCTCAGCCTCCTGAGTAGCTGGGATTACAGGCATGCGCCACCATGCCCAGCTAATTTTGTATTTTTAATAGAGACGGAGTTTCTCCATGTTGGTCCGGCTGGTCTCGAACTCCCGACTTCAGGTGATCCGCCTGCCTCGGCCTCCCAAAGTGCTGGGATTCCAGGCGTGAGTCACCACACCCAGCCTGAAGTTTTTTATTTTATGGACTTAAATGATTGTGCCCTGCAGATGTCTGGTGGGGCCACGATGGTAAATAATGTGTATTTTAAAATCTTTTTTAAGAATTAAATTTTGAATATTTTAAATGTTATAATAAATTACATTGATGTGCTCTCTTTCTTCTATATGTATCAGCTTTACAATATTTATTTTGGTAATATGCCTAAGTATGATTTTGCTACTTCATTTTTAAAAAAAGCAAACAATTTTAAACCAAATAATAAAAACTAAACTTCAGTAAGTTTGGCTGTTAACAATAATACTTTTTTTTTCTGAAAAGTCCATTATCTCATTTAACACATATAGACACACAAACCAGATAACACACACACATATTCACAAATAAATTTAAACTTTCCATGCCTGTCTATGTTCTTCTGGCAATAAACAAAATATCCTAAAGGCTTACTAGTGTGTTTAAAATTTTAGGATTAGTTAACATCTAATAAAAAAAGATCCCTGGATATTAAACACTGAAAACCTGCATGGCCTATATCATACTATTTGATGGTTATTATACTTGGTTAGACTTAAGCACTTTGATTAACTGTAGAGTTTGATAAACTGTAAGTCCATATGTTATGTAGTTTAGGTATTCCATGTTCTATGTCCCAATTTTTATATTAACTTAATTGTTTGAATCGGTGTCAGATAAACCCTGAAGACATCTGAAAATAATTTTCTAAGAAAGTTCTGAATCCATTTGAATCAGCCAAGTAAATAACTTAAATATAAATTATTTAAACACTGTGATATGGGCCAGGTACAGTGGCTCACACCTGTAATCCCAGCACTTTGGGAGACTGAGTCGGGCAGATCGTGAGGTCAAGAGATCGAGATCATCCTGGCCAACATGGTGAAACCCCATTTCTACTAAAAATACAAAAATTAGCTGGGCACGGTGGTGCACACCTGTAGTCCCAGCTACTTAGGAGGCAAGAGAATCTCTTGAACCTGGGAGGCGGAAGTTGCAGTGAGTCGAGATCATGCCACTGCATTCCAGTCTGTAAACACAGTGAGACTCTGTCTCAAAAAAAAAAAAGAAAAAGAAAAGAAAAAATAAAGGAAAAAAAAAAGGTATTTTGACATGAAATAGCATGACTATTAATGACTATTATGCACACTTAAATAACATAAGTTATTTGACTTATAACATACATTAAGTATGCATAATAGTCATGCTGTTTCATGTCAGACTACCATCAAAATCAAAACGACAGTGCACTATCAGATTTTTCTTCTCTTTTTTTTTTTGAGATGGAGTCTTGCTCTGCCTCCCAGGCAGGAGTGCAGTGGCGAGATCTCAGCTCACTGAAATCACTGCTTCCCGGGTTCACACCATTCTCCTGCCTCAGCCTCCCGAGTAGCTGGGACTACAGGTGCCCGCCACCACGTCCAGCTAATTTTTTGTATTTTTAGTAGAGACGGGGTTTCACTATGTTAGCCAGGATGGTCTCAATCCCCTGACCTCGTGATCCGCCCGTCTCTGCCTCCCAAAGTGCTGGGATTACAGGCATGAGCCACCGTGCCCGGCCACTATTAGCTTCTAAAACAAAAAGTTCACATATACCTATATAAAATTTGCATATCTATATTCTATGTAGGAAAGGAAAACACTGGCAAGCCAATGCAGAACAACCAAAATGTCCATGAGAACTAGGAGTATGAAGTTGAATTAAATTGCTCAAACACATCTCAAAAACTCCTGATTTACCAAACATTACTAATTTGGGGAGGAAGATGTGCCCTTTCTTTTTTCTAAAACCTCCAAAATCTTGTAACAGTTACTGTTGCTGCTGCTCTTGTTGGTAAGCAGGAAGTGCAGAAAGCACTTGGAAGGTGTGGATGGTAGTGAGGAAAAGTGAACACACCTGTTTGGTCACAGAAATGCTAGCAATGCTTACATATGTGCTAATTATAGTAAGATCATGCCACTGTGGTTCAAATTCTTCCTGGCCACAAGCATTGATTCTTCTGTCTCCTTGTCATTTGGCATTTGCCTAGCAGCTAGAGGCATGGTGGTGCCCCAAATAATTTCCCCTCTCTCTTCTAATAGGAACAGAAATTTAGGGCCACTAGACTGCGATCCCTTTAAGAGCACACATTATACACATCTTTGCAACCCCACTCCTCAGGGTCGTAGGTATGTTGATTGTATGATTGGATGAATGAAATGACCTTTAAAAAAAAATAAATCACATTGGTTAAAATGCCCATGTATTAAAATACAAGTTCCATTATTATTTTAAATAAACTTCCTGTTTCAATATTAAAAACAGCAGGAAATTAATATATAAATCAATCCATCTCTCACCCAGTCTCATAACTTTTTATTTTTTTTTTGTAAGATTGCCTACACTTAAATTACATACTGGCTGTAAACTATTCCAAAAGTGCTTGAATAAATGAAATTTAAAAGAGAATTTCTATTATTCGATATAAATAAAGTACACACTAGAAGTACTTTACTTGCTATCTTTCTAGTAATGGTGCAACGACAAAAGGCCTTTGAACAAAAAAGCCTTCATTTTTTAAAATATATATCTCCAAATGGGTATCTCCTTACCATTGCTATAAATTCACTATAAATTTTCATTCATTTAAGTTTTTGGAGAATTTTTTTTAAATTAATGGTGGCATGGACACATGGCAGGGAACACCACACACTGGGGCCTGTTGAAGGGTTGGGGGAGGAGGGAGAGCATCAGGAAGAGTAATTTAGGGATGCTGGGCTTAATACTTAGGTGATGGGATAATCTGTGCAGCAAACCACCATGGCACACGTTTACCTGTCTAACCTGCACATCTGCACATGTATTCCTGAAATTAAAATTTTGAAATAATCAGTGGTGGCAAGTGGATGGCCATTTGCAGGTTCAATCATACTCATTACAATTAAACAGATCAGCCGATCCAAATATTAGCCTGGCTAGCCATCAATGGCCTTCTTGATACACTGGCCATAGAGAGATGTTTAGAACAATGAATCAATATCTTAATATCATGGAAAGAAAAGTAAAAGATCATCACTGGCCTGTGTCTGGAAGAATTCTATTTGTTAACCTCTGAGGCATCACTGTAATCATTTAAAAATATAAATAAATATCAAGTTAAAAAAATAAAAGATTAAAGTAATTTCCTGAAAACACTGAAATAGCTGTACAAAAACAACTTCCTAATTTTCCATACAAATAAATAAATCAGTTAAGTTAATGGATACTGGCCACCAACATGTCTCAAACGTTTCCCTTACCCTAACTGACAATTGCTACGTACGTACAGTCTATTCCGTACTTAAGGATGATTTAATTTTAAATAAAAAACTCCTCAAATCAGCCACAGGCTACAAAGCAGATTGTTCTTTACTTACCCACAGGAGACATTTCTGGAACTCCTGCCGTGTATGGGCCATCCAAGAATTTGGGTTCATTGTCGTTGATATCCTGAATTTTGATGACAAACTCCGACTCGGGCTCCACGGGTTTGTTGGTGAGCCTGTCCAGAGCTTGGGCTCGGAGCGTGTAGTAGGCCTGCTCCTCACGATCCAGTCTCTTGGTGGCATGAATATCCCCAGTGTTCTCATCAATAATGAAAATGGAACTTGCCCCTTCGCCTGACAAGATGTATTTGATGGAACCATCTCCTTTATCAACATCAGAGTGAAGCTGGTGAAAAATTCATGTGAGATGAGATTAACTTACAAGAGAGTCAGCGATACGGAGATATGTAAAAACAATTCTTATGTCAGGTAGGAGTACACGAAATTTTATTGTTCTTGGAAAGATAAGCTGAACGCTTATTGTGCACAGTAGAAAGGCTATGAGAATGTGTCAGCTTGTACTTGCAAGACAATTTCATGTCTTCCTGTAAACAGTCACATTTCCAAAGGTATTTTATATCAGTCCCAAAGTTGGGAACTGATTGTAGTGTTATTTTGTATTTGATCTGTCCTTGCCAGTTTTAGCCATCTTATTTGAACAGAGCAGGCATTCAGTAAACACGTATAATTGGTTGATTTGATCTACTCCAAGCAAAGAAACTTTCTATAGGACATTTGTAAATCTAGTTCCAACATACCATTTAATACGCTTAGAAACCCCCATATTATTTAAGGGTGCCCTTCTCTCCCTCCTTCCTGCCCTGTCCCCACTCACACTCTTTGCTGTGATTAACGAGTGTGGCTGGATGTCCAGTCTCTAAATCTGTCTCCAAATCCTGTTCTGTATTTTAAAAATTGGAGCTGAAAAAAAATGACGCAGCTCTCTCAAGTAGGAATTTTAAATCAATACACGCATGGGACTTCAGCTAAACCCTTTCTTGAAATACCAAGAACTGCATTCGACTTGCATGATTAAGCACAGCATCAGCAGCACAGCAGTCCCTCCCGATTTGCGTTTCACATCTGGAGCTGTCCCTGCTGTATGTCAGAACATTATGCTGAACAGAGGAACCTCAGGAAACTCAGACGTAATTACACATTTTCCTGAACTTCATAACCTGAGAAACCGCGCTACTCAATCGGTCATTTCAACAATCTTTCACCCCCTATAACTGCCATCATTCTGGGCTTTGGTTAATATGAATGTAAAACCCAATTTACCAAATAATAAAGCTTTTCGCTGCCCTTCAGAACTACGTTTGCATTTTTTAAAAGACAAGGTGCTAAAGAGACATAAAATATGGAAAAAAAAAAAAAAATGGAGGAAAGTATGGACACAGTACATTTTCATCCTTCCCTGGTAGCTGTTGAGGACATAGCTTTTTGTACCTTGAATTTCTGTAAATGATTGTTTTACTGCACTGTAACAGCTGTGCTTATCCTCTGCTTCCAAGTACTTGAATACCTGATTTATCTTTTGGTTGCAATGGGACTACATAATACAAAAAGTAAATTTCTGGCACCAGTTATAATTTAATTTTTTTCAGTGTGAATTATCTAGTGGATCCTAAGCCACACGTTTATTCAGTGTACGGAAAAGGTGTGTTCTTCAACTATTGTGAATTATTTAACTTTCTTAAGTCATTTTTAGGGTTATGACTATATATGTAACTCCCTCTAATTTATAATACTAAGGGTGAAATATAAGAATTATTATAGTTTTAATTATTAAGAACTTCCTAGATGTCAGTCACTATGCTTAACATTCTTTTTTTTTTTTTTTTTTTTTTAACAAAACAATACTTTTATTTTAGGTTCGGAGGTACATGTGAAGGTTTGTTACATGGGTAAAACATTATTTGCATAGTAACTCATTCAATATTCACATTTGCCCTTAATCCTACTAACAAATGAGGAAACTGAGGAAGAGAAAGGCTAAGAACGTTGTCTGAAGTGGCCCAGCCAACTCTGGCAGACGCAGGATTATGAAAATCGGCAGGCTGGTCTAAAGCCCACATCCCCACTCCCTATAATGAGATCCAGCCTCCAGGATAGGAACTGTTGTGCTGTGTGCTAGGGTCTTCAAGAGTTGATGCAAAGGGGAATGTGAGGAAAGAAGGGAATATGCAACCAACCCCACCTGATCACCCCCCAAATCTTCAAGAAGCTCAGTGCTTCGAGTGGTTTCCATCTGTACGTTTTATGACTTACCCACAGGGTCCCTTCTTGCCATTACATAACAATAAACTCCACCACACTCAGTAGCACAGAGCAAAAAACTTGACTCCCAAGACAAATGCAGATGATGGATGAAAACAAGTTGTTTTTAAAACAAGCTTCCAGTCCCTGGGCCGCTTAAATACTCAATGCTGCTCTCCTAAGGCTCCCTCACCCTCATCTGTGCTCCCATGGGGCGGCAGCTGGTGGTAACTTATCTACACGTTACTGCTGACAGTGGCGTGCAATGTTAGAACATCCAGAAGACCACAAGAAATATCAATTATACATGAGTCATGTCTTTAATCAAAGCCTTTTTACACTGAAATCACATGAACGATTTTCATTTACAGAACAAACCCTTATGATTCATTTACCTAATTCCTACCAGCTGATCACTGTTTTCGTGGCATGGCGCTACAATGTCCCTGTGGTATTCCAAGTATGAGAAACAAAACAAATTTATTTTCAAGAAAAATCACACAGTAAGACCTGACTGTGAACTTCAACCTGAGCTCTGACGCCGCATTTTATTAAATATTATGGGGTTGTCAGTTGTTCTCCATTACTGACAACATCAGAACTTAAAAGTTTCATACTGCTGGATTCTCCAATCATTCAACAATCAAATTCTTCCTCTTCTACTACCTACCCGTGCCCCACCCATGCCCCACTACCCCCGGCCCCGCACACATCCTGTTTCAGGAGCCCTAAACTTTACTATTCTTCCCATCGCTGACCATTTTCTCCCAGCTGGTACCATCACTAGACTTCTAACCACTGCCAAAATTCACAAGCAGAAAATTGCTTGGAGCCTATATTCAGTGTCTTTGCAAAGTTACTCTAAGCATCTGTGGTTAAAAGGGACCAACTTTGAATTGTTAAAATGGGTACATAATTATCTGAGGCATTCAGACATTTAATCTGTGAGACTTTGTGCATTTTACTAATCCTAATAGGTGGAGTGAAATCCACACTCTTAGTAAAAAGCTCCTCTCTCTTTGATGAAAAAGAATGCTCAGCAAAGAAATGTTCTCAAGTGTAGAAATAGCAAATCACGTTCTTAAGTTGACAAGTGTCTAGTAGGCACGTGCACACTCACGGACACACACACACACACACGGACACATGCATGGACATCTTTGAGAATAACTATAACAACCCGAACAGAAAAATGTTACTCTCCGCTGTGAAAACCTTTGACCAAGAAAAAAACAAACTATGATCCTATAAAATGGTAAATAAGTACATAAGCAAAAGAAACAATGCAACCAAAGACAAGTATTTGTGCTCTATTTGGGGGCAGAACAGCGAATCACCTCAGTCTATTCTACTCACAAATACCCTTGCAAATGTGAACCTGAGATTAGCCTAAACAATAAAAAAAAAATATTAATAAGCAGATAAAATTTACCTTTACTGCCTGGGTTCCTAAATCATTTTCAAAGTATTTGTTTTGACTTCAAAGTAACTATTTACAGATTTTTTTTTTCCAATGAGCACAAAAAGTGAGAGGCATAGAACCTTAGTTGAGTCTAGCTCATGATAAGGCAAAAGACAAGCTGAGGAGGAGGTACGATTATGTACATCCTGTGTCATTATGTCAGCATTATGTATTCATATGTAAGAAATATCAGACTCTCATAAACTACATAGACCATGAATGCAAATCACATTTTACATGTACCCTAAAATATATCCGTGAATAATCCATTAATGTTCCATCAGCCCCTGCTTGATAGAGCACCCCCCACCATGAGTCTGTTGTATCTGAGCCCTTTTTCATTCATTTTGAACTATAATCCTCGTTCAGAATCATCAAACCTTTCACTTGGGCTATTGGAAAACACCTCAATTATTTTTTAATTTAATAACTCACATTGTCTAGGCTGTCACAATCGAATTATTTCCTCTAACACATATATTAAATTCTATCACACCCCTCATCAAATATGTTTCTGTCCACAAGAGTATCTTTATTGATAAGTGCTGAAAGATAACACTGAGATATCATAATATATCATATTTGCACAACAATGTTAGCTCTGAAGGACTTTCATGATGGATCAGCCCCTGGGCGTGGCCTGGAGCTTCCCGATGGTCCAGCCAATTGTGGCTGATTATTCCAGGAAGCATCTATTGCTATATTTATGCTTATTTTAGAGCCTATGGAAAGTACATCTGTGCTATTTCAAAGTGTATGGAACATTTACTGGGCTGACTCTTGATCCTCCTTCTTTGGCCTTTTCAGCATGCTCACCAAATATATTTAATTGCTTCCCATGGTCTATGGATTTAACCGAAAATTCTAGGCATGAGTCCCAATCTGATTCCATTCTATCTCCCTGGCCTTGTTTTTCCACCACATCTCACAGTGTAGTCTATGGTCCAAGCGTGCTGGACTAGTTTTCACTGCCTGAGCATAGCAAGCATTTCCCATGCTTCCCAACACACCCACTCACAGACATCCAATTCAGCTCGATGCAAGTTCCCTTTTTCTGAAGTTTTACAACTGTCCTGTTTATTTCCCATAGTTTCTTATTTCAATTTCTATGATAGAATTCATTTAATTCTGCTTTATATGGAAAAATCTAGTTATTTTTACATTCAACTTTAATTTATAAACTCCTTAAGAACTAAGTTCTTTTTATCACTATGTTCTACATCCTTAATAAAGTCTGTTGTATTAAATTTGGTAAATTTACAATCCACTTTGTAAAATAGCAGTATTTGTTTTATTTCAATTTCTGTCCTTTTAAGTTTTAATAGCTTTTTAAAGAAAAACAAAACAAAACAAAACAAAAAACATCCTGGTATCTCTGGTTTGTTCTCCATAATCCTCTGAACCACTTAGATGGAGTTCAGATGCCTTGCTTTGTTGCTCATGGTAACACTTAGTGTATGATTTTGTACTTTCACACTTACATGTTTTTGTTCCCCAGGAGACAGAGCCTTGGTAGAAACAGGCATCTTTCTTATTCCTGTTTCCTCACCTTTTATACAGTAGTTCTCTCTCCCTTTTTTTCTCTCTCTCATAAATACACAGACATACACACATGCACGTGTGTTAAGGGAGGGTTGAAACCCACTTGCACGTCCTTGGGTGCCAGAATATCCATGACCTTCATTAAATTTTTATCCACCTTATTTTTAAATTTAAGATTGTAGAGACCAAAACTAAAAGAGCAACGCACTGATGTTCTGGTGATCTTTTTACATCTATATAACCAGATTACACTTGATATGAACTACCTGGTCTACCACTTTCAATCCATCTGCTTAAATAAAAGTCTGAAAATGGAAAACATCCTCTATTTAGGAGATGAAGGTAAAAAAAAAATCAATTCAGTTTATTAATCAACTTTTCTTTCCTCTAGTACTTCTTAAATTCTGCTTGTTATTTGATCTTACTGATGATCTTGTGTTTACTACCTAAAGCTTAGCCATGTAAAATGGAGACAAATATATTCACACTTGAACGTGCATAATTGTGACCAGTACTTGAGATGATATGGTGGACTAGGATTCATAAAGGTAAATTATTGTAATGTTAGAGTTGCACTTTTTGATGTCTTTGCCTTTGAAAAAAATACTAAATTTTCATGCCACAGAAAGACCATCTACAAACATAAGGTGAAATTTTATGAAAGAGATAATATGTATTGTGAAAGCTTTAATATTAATAAATGAAACTAGAAACTAAAGCCTCTGTGATGCTCACTGACTTATTTACAATAAGGATGACAATAATTGCAGCTTTGTATTAAATGTTTCCTTATAATGAACGTTGGAATAAGAAAAAATACATTGTAATATAAATAAAACGCATACTGGTGCTATTGCATTTGTGTCAAAAAAAATGAAGTAATGCTAGCAAAGTAAAAAATGTGTTTTTCAGAGCAGTAAGTTAATCAATCTGAGAGTGATTTATATTAAATATTAATAAAGTATTAAAAGTAAATTTTACCACTGATTTACTTATTATAGATTCCTGACTTTTAAAATTTAAAAGTGTCTTCCAGATTATTAGAACCCATGCAGGGTAAGTCTATTAAAATTTTACAAGTTTACAATTATAAGTACAGAAAGTAGATTTAAACAATGATTGGCAGAAGTATAACTGCCTGAATATACATATGATAAACAAATTTTCTTTTCTCATAATGTCTTTTAATAAATATTTTCCACATACCACTGGATATGTTGCAATTATCAAGCTGTCGAAGAAATGTTATAGATGAAAACAAATGTATGAGTCATTTCTTTCTGGTTGAAGTATTCCTAATTTATAATTATTACTGTAATTCAAGGTAATGGAACACAATTTACTTGTAAAGCATCTCTAATGAAGACAGTGGTTTAAGAAGTAAAGATATTGTTTAACAAACAGGAATAAAGGAAAGAAATATAACTCAGGAAGTACATGGGTAATGGTAATATTGCTGAAAAATTCATTTCTTTTATTAAGTAATAAAAAGAAAAAAAATACTACTCATATTGTTTTTATTCTCAGAAAAAGTGCACAGTAAGTCACTTGTGACAAACAGCCATTCTAGGGGGTCACAGTCCATTTTCTTAGAAGCAGAATGACCCAATTGGAAGGTCAATGCAAAGAAGCCCCAGGTATGGCTACTGAATCTCATTCTGCTCCATGTTGTGTTGTCTTGATGGTGCTTGAGTCCCAGTTTATGCATCTGTTATAGATCCATATCTGTAAATGGACAATTGGCTTTCAATGTTGGAGTGAGGATAAAATAAAAAGATGCATTTGGAAGTAATTTTGTAAAATTAAATTTTCCATCCATATTAACACATTTCCATATAGTAGTGTAATATACTTATCTGCATTCCTTAGGGAAAACAGTCCTGCTCTGGAGTGAAAAGGTCATAGATCTGTGCCTACGACATGGTTACTTAAAGCTTCACGTTCACAGACACAGCTTTTTCATCAGGGACCAAGAGACAGCAACTCAAAAAAGCATTCTTTATTCCACACAGCTACATTCACTTCCCTAAAGAAAACCCCACTCATCCTGTCTCTGATTGCTGTCTCCAGGCCAGATCTACAACTCTCACACAACTTAAGAAATCCGCCTACAGTCGAATTCTTAATGATCAGAATTGAAGCTGAGGCTTCATCTTCGCTTAGTGTAATTGTGAATGCTTCATGTTCTCTACTTGAGGGCTCGCCGGATAGGAGAGTACCTTACTCTCTTAGTTGTAAACTCCATGAAATAGGCCAGAAGCACTTAAAAGCAACCCCTGGAGAGACTCAGCTTTTTATCAAAAGAATAACTTTTAATTTTACTTTTTAAAATGAGACCGGTTGAGCAGGAAATGTATATAACCAAGGCAAAAGCAACACCACTCAAAGTGAGGTATCTGTTTTTTGGAATTAAGATAAAAACAGAATTTGAGATGAATGGCTTAGCAACTGTTATAGTAAGCTCACCAAATAATTTCATGTCTGTTGAACCCAAATACAATGATAAAAATAATGGGAATTGATTTTTTTTATCTAAGAAACTTATTTTTATTGCATTTTACAAAACCAGCATCAAGTGACAATAGTATAGTGTGTTCTTAGAAAACCAAATGTGTGTACAAAAACACAACCAACAACAAAACACACCTTGGCCTTTCATCACAGATCCATTGAGAAGCACTGGGCCCATGAAAAAAACCCTACATGAAAACTGTTTTCAATGCTTCTAGGCAAAAGTCCATCTAACACTTCTTCCCTGTCATAACATTAGAGATGACTGGAAGATACCATGATGAAGGCAGAGAGCAATCTGAGAGCTCATCTTTAAGATTTGCACAAATGTTTTGTACCTGGCATTTTGGAGAAGGTATGCACGTACATGTTGCAGATGCCAATAGCATAAGGTGTTCGCAAAATGTTTCTCGGAGTTGTCTGCACTACAGTGCTTTGTCCATTAGAAAATATCAACGATAACAGCTAAAGCAACGGAAATAAAAGTTTAGAGTCTCCATTTGGTTGAGGGGAGAAAACGTCAACACTTGTATAATCTAAAGAGAGAATTTTCTAAAGCATCTTTTCAATTCTAATATAAGAATAGTATTTGTTCAATGTGGTCTAATGGAAGCCAATGCCTGGACAAAGATATGGACAAACACAGAATGTCAGAGATAATGCAGAACAAGGAGGGCAAACTAAAAGGAGCTAGGTAAGAGGACAGATGGTGACTTAGCCACAACTCTTTTTTTCTTTTATTTTTTGTTGGGGAGATTGGACTCTCGCTCTATCGCTCAGGCTGGAGTGCAGTGGCGCAATCTTGGCTCACTGCAAGCTCCACCTCCCGGGGGTAAGCAGAACACTGAAGACCAAGAACCAAAGGATCAGAATGGGATTGTCCTTCTTACCTCACTCCTATTGACTCACTGGGTGTTGATGTGTGCTTCTCATTTCTACAGCAGGGTGACTCTACCAGGTTCACAAGGTATGTCGGTCCCATTCTCTTGGGACTCCTGGCACCAAGGGACCAGCAGACTAGGACAAGTGTCGCAATTCTGGTAGGTGTAACCTATCTCGATCATCAGGAGGAGGTGGGCTTCTGTTATCTAATGGGGGCTTCTGTTAGTATCTGGGCACTAGAGTGTCTCTTGATGTTCTCTTGTCCATCTTAATGGCAAATGGACAAGTGAAAGAACCTGTCCAAGGGGGAGCTGGCGATGAGACGGATGTAATGAGTACCACTTGCAACCTGGAGATTCTTAATCTTCTCGTGAATTCTAGCAGGAAAGAGGGCCTAACATATTTCTGCAGAACTGTTTCCTGAACTTACTACATGAAGCAAGTGGATATGAGTGGTGCAAGGGGCTGATTCTAGGGCATGTCATGAAAGCCTCCCAGATCCCCTCCCTGCTCCACCAAATGAAACACTGGTGTGCTGGTGGCCAACACATCTCAGCTAAGTCCTTTCCAAAAGTCGTCCTCAGTTGAAGAGAGCCACCTTGACCAAAGGTAACACATCTTTCTTAAGAACAGGCTACATCCAATGATGATTGGCTGCCGTGAGCCTTTAAAGCTCCTCCTTCTCCCCTTAACTCAGGACAGCTATGAAGACCTTTCCCTACTCCTGAACTCTCCATAAGGTCAGCCAAGTCCTAGGCTGCTTTGTTCAACAACTTTTACTGCCCAATCCTATTTCCTTCTTTTCTCCCTCACAAGTGTTTATTCCAAGAATGCACTCGAATAAATTCCTTACGGGCAAATCCACCCTGGGCCAGGTCTGTTTCCTATGCAACCTTACCTGCAGCATACACACACATTACCAACTCAGTAACTAATGAACCACAGAGCTTGGCTCCTTGGTACTCATGCATACCACGCTCTCTCCTTCAGAGGCACAGGTGATAGAGGGGAACATGTATGTCATTTGTTGACAGATGTGTACTTGTTGATAAGCAGCAGCAGCCACTGAAGTAGAGGCTGTCAAATGGCAAAATTCGTAAAAGTTGTAGCCCCAGGCAGTGAGTCACTCGTTTCTTTCAGTAGATATCTGACA